CCTTGACAAGTTAGTAGCTGGTGTTTGCTGCAAGCATAACCAGCCAACCTGGCTCTGTCTGCCCTCTGGTGAGGCCTAACTGCACCCTGCATTTGCTTACAGACTCCTCTTAGACCAGGTACAGACATTACTCTTTTACTAGTATAAGTGATGGGAAACTGGTCTATGCCTGTAACAGAACAGAAGTTCGGCGCACACAGACTGGTTTAAAAGTGATGAAGATTTGCGCCCCCCCACCAAAGGGCGAACGTGTGCTCTGTTCACTACCAATCTAAACTACACTGCTTACAGAAAATCACATCATTTTGATTAATTCTGCCTCAGGCTTTTTGAATGCCTGTACCTAGCTTGAGAGCATTTGGTGATAAAAGGGGCATTTTTACACATACTCTGGGGCTGGTGGTGATGCAAGACTAGGGTTGCCAACAGTATTTGAATTTATTCTGCGAGGTTTCATCACATGATGTAGTGATGCTAATGACTGATCTAGTGTACTGAGTAGACTTTACAGCAGGAAGGCAAATGCATGTTACTATTACATTTTAAAAACCCACTGGCCTACTGTATAAATTGGATTAAATATTTAATATGTATTTTAAGGAATGCCCTATCATTTATCTCCTGGGTGACTCTCAGCAGTTTCCTGGAGATTTATATCTCATTCCTGGAGACTCCAGGGCAATCCTGGAGGGTTGGTAACTCCATGCAAAAGCCGCTTTAATTAAGGCGCTTGTAGCATCTTGTGTATTCAGTGTCCCGTGCCTCAAAATGGCTGCGTTGGCGCTTTAACTAAAGCTTGTTGGAGTAATCGAGTCTGCTCCGAGGTGTTGTAATTACACGGTGTTGGAGCAGTGTCCCTGCACGTGTACAGGCACCCAACGGTGCTCTGGCTGCTGCCCACAGTCCTAAGTCATTGGTTTGGGCTCTGAAGAGGTGGAAAAAGCAGATGCACCGAGGAAGAAGATGGCAGTGTCTGGTCCCAGCTGTCTTGTGCTGCCATGCTACCCCCATGCTTCCCAGTGGTTTCAGACCCAGGGCCAGTGCCAGATTTAGGCTTAAACTACTGAGGCCATTTGTACACGCCACAAAATTGGCCTTTAAAGTGGCTTAATCCCCTTTTGCACTGTTTTAAAGGTGCAGCTGTTTGCACGTGTTGGCGGCATAGCGCACTTTAATGGCAGGCTATTTGCACATGTTGGCGGCATAATGCGCATTAAATGAGTTTGGGATCCAACAAAATAAAACATCCCCGAGGTGGTTTAGTTTTCTGCAGAGGGAAGCCCCATGCATCTCAGGGGCTGCGCAGGCAGCCCGGCAGCTTAGGGACCGCTTGGCCTGCTGGCAGCTCCCACTCCCCTCCCTGCCACCGGAGAGGCAGGTAAGGATTGGCCCCGAGTTGTGTGTACACGCCACAATGGTTTACTTCACCCTAAATTGAAGCGGTGTTTTTAAAGGCCCACTGCTTCAATTCAGGGAGAATTAAACCGAAGTAAACCCCCGTAGCTTGCACAAACGCCCTTAAGCTAAAGTTCAGGGCCTCACGATATGAGGGTCCTCTAAATAAGAAGAAAAAAAGGACATTTTTGTTCTGATATGACAAAAATAAACACACACACACGGCTCCACCGTTATTATGCATATTGAGTTCATAAATTTGTGTGGAAACAGCAATAACGCATCTTAAAATTTCATGGCAACCCATTTCCGTGGATTATTTTTATCCTGCAGGGCCTCTTCAGTGGGGCCTTGCACAGGGGTGTGCATTTTTTGGGATCCAAACTGGCAGCGTGCACCCCGTGGATCCGGACTCTGGAAAGGGGACCCTCGCCTGTCCAACAACGCGTGTCTTTCTCCAGGTGGAAACCAGGGTGCTGCGCCTCAGCTTCAGAGCGGGTTAAGGCGCAGACAGACGTGCACGACGCGCAGAGCCGGGCGGGGTTGTGCGCGGAGCGGACTCCAAGTCCCAGCGCGCATCGGGCGCCGCGCGGAAGGGGCGGGGCCGCGCCGCGCGGGGCGGGGCCGTTGGACGCTGGCGGT